AGCTGATAGTTTATATGTCAAGGGTAATCGAGATCGTGGACGGAAGCCAGAGAATGCAGAGTCTGGGAAGTGGAATTTCATATCTAAATCTAGGGATAAGAAGAAAATTCACTGTTACAAGTACAAGGAGGCGGGATATATGAAGCGAGACTGTCTGAAGTTGAAAAAGCAGACTGATGAGAAGCGTGATGACTCATCCAAGTCTGTGAATGTGGTCGAGGATTACAATTCTGATTGCAGTGAGGGTGATATGCTCTTTATTTCAACGACTCAATTGACAGATGCTTGGATTCTTGATTATGGATGTTCTTATCACATCATGCCAAATAGAGAATGGTTTTTGACATACATGTCGGTTAATTCTAGTTCTGTTTATTTGGGTGATGATCGATGTTGCAATATTGTTAGTATTGGTGATGTCAGAATTAAGATGTATGATGATTATGTTCGGACGTTGTGTGGTGTTCGACATATCCCAGATTTGAAGAAGAATTTGATTTCTCTTGGCACTTTGCACAATAATGGTTTTATCCCTAAGGCTGATGAGCATAGGGAAACCATTCGGATTATTAAAGGAGCTTTGACTGTGATGAAAGGAAATATGACTGTAGGGAATATTTATAGATTGTTAGGGAGTATCATTGTAGGTGGAGTTCATTTTGTTGAGTCATGTGATGATACTAACAAACTGTGGCATATGCGTCTTGCTCATCTTAGTGAACGTGGTATGGATGAATTACATAAAATAAATCTTTTGCATGGTGTTAAAAGCTGTAAGCTCGATTTTTGCAAGTATTGTGTTCTTGGTAAATAGACTAAAGTTCGTTTCAAGACTGGGAAGCGCACAACTGAAGGGATTCTTAATTATTTACATTCTGATGTATGGGGGCCTTCCATGACATCGTCTTTGGGTGTATCTAGGTATTATGTTACTTTTATTGACGTTTTTTCATGGAAAGTTTGGGTGTATTTTTTTGAAACAGAAGTCTGACGTTTTTGAGAAGATCAAGCTGTGGATAACTGAGGTAGAAAACTAAATAGGACGAAAAATCAAGTGTTTACGGTATGACAATGGTACGGAGTACACAGATTCACAGTTTCTAAACTTCTGTAAAGATCATGGGATTAAGAGGCATTTTACAGTACGCAAGACACCACAACAGAATGGTGTTGCGGAACGGATGAACATGTCGTTGAATAAAAGAGTCAGATGTTTGCAGTTGAATATGGGGCTTCCCAAACACTTCTGGGTTGAGGCTGTTGACATGGCATGTTATCTTATCAATAGATTGCCAAGGGCATCATTGGCTGGGAAAGTTGCAGAAGAGTTATGGACTGGTCATTATATTACTTTTGATCACTTACGGATTTTTGGTTGTCTGGCTTATGTGCATGTACCTGCTGATGAGAGATCTAAACTTGATGCAAAATCGAAAGAGTGTATTTTTCTAGGTTACAAGAAAGATGTTAAAGGATTCAAGTTCTAGGATCTAGTTGCGAGGAAAATTGTGATCAGGAGAGATGTTGTTTTTGATGAACAACCCATGTTACAACAGAAGAAAGAAACGACAGTGATAGATTTCGAACAGTTTACAGTTGAGAAAAACAGAAATTTCTCAACCAACTTTTGGTGGTTTCGCTACGGTTGATTTGCAGGATTACAGCCTCGCTAGAGACAGGGTGAGACGGACGAATATAAAGCCTCTGAACAAATTGGGTTTTGAAGACTTGGTCTCTTTTGCACTTACTGTTAGCAGTGATGATCCAATTACTTTTCATGATGTTGTTACTAGTAAGGAAAATGACAAGTGGATGACTGTCATGGTTGAGGAGATGAAGTCTTTGAATCATAATCGTACATGAGAGTTAGTTCGCCTTCCTGATGGTAAGAAACCTATTGGTTGCAAATGGGTGTATAAGAAGAAACCAACAGTAACAGAAAAAAAGGGAGAAGTTCAAGGCTCGTTTGGTAGCAAAGGGTTTTTCACAGCAGAAAGGAGTTGATTATGATGAAATATTTTCTCCTGTGGTCAGGCACACTTTAATCCGAGCAGTACTTGCATTGGTGGCTAGTTGGGATTTGCATTTAGAGCATATGGATGTTAAAACTGCTTTTTTGCATGGTGATTTAGAGGAGCATATCTACATGCAACAGCCTGAAGGTTTTAGTCAACCTGGAAATGAGCATTTAGTTTGCAGATTGAAGAAATCTTTGTACGAGTTGAAACAGTCTCCGAGACAATGGTATAAACGGTTTGACTCCTATATGATCAAAATTGGCTACAAGCGAAGTGAATATGATTGTTGTGTCTATGTTAAGAGCCTTGATGATGGTTCTTTTATTTTTCTGTTACTGTATATTGATGATATGTTAATTACTGCGAAGAACATGGATGATGTTATCGTTTTGAAAACTTTATTGAGTCATGAATTTGATATGAAAGATTTAGGTGATGCAAAGAAAATTCTTGGAATAGAAATTTGCAGGGATAGAGACTCAAGGAAACTGTGGCTATCTTAACGGGGTTATGTTGAGAAAATGCTAGAAAAGTTTGCGATAAGCAGCGTAAAACCAGTGAGTACTCCATTGGTGAATCACTTTAAGCTCTCATTAGAACAGTGCCCTAAGACAGATAAGAAAGCTGAAGATATGGCAAAGGTTACGTATTCTAATGTTGTTGGCTACTTGATGTATGCAATGGTATGTACTCGTCCTGATTTAGCTCATGCAGTTAGTCAAGTTTGTAAGTACATGTCTAAACTTGGTAAGCAACATTGGGAAACAGTCAAGTGGATCTTTAGGTACTTAAAGGGTACTGTGGGACATGGAATTATTTTTAGTAGTTAGCGGGATAATCCTTTTGTTGTAGGATATGTGGATTCAGACTATGCAGGTGACTTGGATAATAGAAGATCTACGACAGGGTATGTCTTTACTCTTAGTGGAGGGCCTATTTGTTGGAAGTCTGCTGTTCAATTTGTTGTGGCATTATCTACAACTGAAGTTGAATGCATGGCAGCGGCTGAATCTGCAAAAGAAGCTTTATGTCTTACTGGTTTAGTGAAGGAGTTGGGTGTTCAGTAAGGTGGAGTTCAGTTGCTTTGTGACAATTAAAGTAATATTCACATGGCTAAGAATCATGTATATCGTGTTAGAACCAAACATATTAATGTAAGGTTTCACAAGATCAGAGAGTTGGTTGCATCTAGAGAGATTTTGTTTCAGAAGGTACATACTGATGAGAATGCCGTTGATATTTTCACCAAGCCAGTTACGACAGACAATTTCATCCATTGCTTGGACTTGTTGAATGTTTCGAGTTGTTAAAGAAGTAAGGTAACCCAACCCACATTGAATGTTTCCTAAGGGGCAGGATATTCGCCAATGTGGATATTTGTTAGGTACAGCTCATAAATATACCGGTAAAGGAAAGTTTCGTAGAGGGGGTTACGATTATGTGGGTTGGGGTTGTGGCCTCGTGGTATCGTACAAGGTTATTTTTGTAAATTTGTATCAAGGTTTATTTATTATAAAAAGAGATATAACCTAAACCTATGAGACATTGAATTGAATAAAAATTCTAGTACCGTCTAAGGCACCGAGGACGTTAGCACATTGCTGAACCTCGTTAAAATTCTTGCGTTCTTTCTATTTTTTTACCCGATTATTCAACATTTTTTTCTAAGTTTTTTATTTAAATTTATATTTTTTATAATATATATTATATAAAAATTAAATCTACAATAATACTGTATCATACCTTAATTTAAACATTACAATATTTTTGGCGGTGAGTACGACGCGAGCATGTTGGCGGCTTTGATTTTAGAGTCATAGTTAGAGCAAAGAAAAGTGGGAAATGCTCACGTGCGACATTCTTAATATACGGCTAAAAAAGGCGCTACTGGTTTTGTTATTATTTTAAATAATAAAACCAATAAAAAATGACCGAAAACATTATTATTTCTACAAGTTTTAATTACCAATATAGGTAAACTAACCTGGTAAAAAATAATGTTTTCGGTAAAGCGATACCTAAAACATTATTTTTTACCAGGTTTTTTCTACCTTGTTTACCTATATCGGTAATTATAACCAGTAGAAATAATAATATTTTCGGTCATTTTTTACGGGTTTTGTTATTATTTTTTTAACTGTATATTAAGGTTGCCGCAGCGTAGAACTTCTCGAGAAAAGTTGAGTTACTACTTAAGATATTTTTTAACTATTAAATTTTTTAAATTAATTTAAAATTAAAATTAAAACATTAAAATATATAACTAAAAATATTATATGCGTAGTTATTTTAATTTTAATTTTATTAATTATTATGTTATTTTTTCGTTAAATATTAGTAATAGGTGACTCAATTGATACTATTTAAATAATTAAATGATTTGATTAATAAAATCAACATATTAATGATTAAAATAGAATCTACACATAATTAAATGATAATGAATATAGTTTACCTTGTCTTTTAACCTATTCAATACACAATTTTTTATTATATAAATATGAGATAAATACAACATAGTATATGTTCAAAGATTTTCAATTATTTAACAATAAATGTTAATATCCTTATATATATGGTGCTCGAACCTAAGATCTAAAGAGATAACAACAAATCATTAACTACAAAGATCCTTTATTTCGTGGCTACGTACACATCTTTTAAACCCGCGAAATGTATTTTTTAACCTAATTAATGAAAAAAAAACTGGACGCAAGATTTACAATATATTGTATTTGAAAAAATAGAGGCACTGAAATGATCAATTTATAAATAGAGATATTTAAACTGTAAACAGAACATAATACATGAACTTTTTTATAATTTAACCAAAAAAGATGGTTGGCCTTTTTGTGTGTCAAAGGACAGTGGTCAATCAATTTTGGGTCCCTTTAGGAAGTTTCCATGCCATTTCCTTCCACCGAATTAATACGTTTATATATTAATTTCTCGTCCTCTACATTTCTCTGCAATTCCCCTAAAGCATTCCAAAAATATATATACCTTTATTTTAAGCTATTAAATCTTCGGCCAACTTTCCTTTGGAATCAAATGGCAACCGCTAAAGTTTCCAAGGCCTCCAAATGGTTCTCGAACAAGACCCTTAGGTTAAGCCTTCACCGCCGTCGATCCAAGTCTAGCCCCACTCCAACCTTTCCCGAATCATCACCTTCGCCTCCTCGTAAAACCCCAAAGAGGCCTTACGAGGAGATGAAAGAAGTGTTCCGCTATTTCGACGGCGACGATGACGGGAAAATCTCCGCTCTCGAACTTAGGGCATACTTCGGGTCCATCGGAGAGTACATGTCGCATGAAGACGCTCAAGCGGTGATCAACGAACTCGATTCCGACGGCGATAGCATGTTGGACTATCAGGATTTCTTGAAGTTGATGAAAGTAGAAAACAGGGACGACGACGATGATCTGAAGAGAGCGTTCGAGATGTTCGAGTTGGAGAAAGGTTCGGGTTGCATAACTCCGAAAGGGTTGCAAATGATGTTGAATCGCCTTGGCGACGCAAAGTCTTACGATGAGTGCGTTGCGATGATCCAGGTTTATGATATCGACGGGAATGGAGTGCTTGATTTTTACGAGTTTCACGAAATGATGGCTTAATTCCATAGTGTAAGTACTACGTTCATGCCTTCAATTTGTAATTAAGCAATATTATACTACAATGGATGTTGCTAGAGAAAGAACCCTACTTTAATTGTATTTGAAGTCATTAAGTTCTTATTTCTCTCAAAATTATGCTTGTTATTAGGATCCTATTAATTCCAAAATTACTAAAATTGAACTTGTTTTCTTTTAGTTTAATTTTGATTTCTTCCCCGTCATTTTGTAATATGTAGAAACCCTTACACCTTAAGCAAAGTTTTGTTAAATACTATGTTAGGAAGGGGGGGAAATGCAGCAAGGCAGGCAAAAGAAGAGAAATTTATTTAACATTAAGAAGGAAAACATGACATGCTTGTTGAAAATGAATTATTATCCATAATTTTGTTTGGCTTGTTGGCTAAGGAAAATTTATTATCTACTTGAACCGCATTCATGGACTACTCGTGAGGCTTCAAAGCAGCTGCAAAACCGTGAAGTCTAGCTATTATAGTCATTAGGTGCTCCTCCTATCCACATCCAGATACGATCCTTCTTATATATACCAATATCCTCAACCAAATTAACAACATTATTCAGAGGTAACTTACTTTGAGCATTGATTTCTCCTTCGATTATTTTAAACGTATAATGTGATATTGTAAAAACCTCATAAAATAAAATATAAAATATCATAATTTTATTATTCAAATCTTCATATTTATCCATCTAAAATATGTCTAAAATTTTCAAATATTCATTTTTTCCCTACAAATTAAAGTAAACATCATGCCAAACTTTAGCGACGGTGAATCCGCGGCTGTAAAGATTCATTATTTCAAACACACTTTGTGGTGTTTGTTTGTTGTTTTTATTTACAAAGTAAGGACATGCAGCCGATAACGTTGTGGGTATTTTGGCTGTATCATTATGGAAATCGTGCGTTTTTCTGTAGCTTTTAGAAGAGAGTGATAGCAAAGCATTGATGTCCTTTGCTATTTCCAGACAAGAATTTATAACTATATCGTAAACTAGTTGCATAATTTAGACCTTGTATAATATTAAAACTAGTCACTTTATATCTATAAGAATCATAGATGGAAAAAGTTAAAAACTCAACCAAAAAACTCGAACAAGAAATAGATGCAAATAAATTTGACTGCAACAACAAACGAACCACAAAAAGATTACAAGTAAGAGCCATATTGATCAGTCGTGACATCGTCAAATCTCACCCTAAGAAAATATAAATAAAAGAACGACCAAACAATGAAGGAAAAAAAAATGAAAAACGTGCCATAAAAACAGAAAAAACGTGTCATATAGGTAAAATTATTCATATTAAAAAAAACTAAAAAACAAAGAGAAAAGAGAACCAGTAGACGCTAACCAGCATCAAAATTGTCGTCGTCGTCGTCAGTTAAATAAAACCAAAGAAGAAAATTTTTAAATATATGAAAAAGGTACAAAATTCTAAAGAGAAAAAAAAAAGGGAAGGGGAAGAGCAGCTAGGGTTTTGAACTCTTCCAGCTGCTAGTTTTAAATGCTCATTGTGCATGTGCATGTTCTTGGTGGGTCGATAGTGGAAATGAATTATCATTTGATGGTAGTTGAAATTTTATTTCAACAGAAAATGGGAGTAATAATTGGTTTGCCTAATTATTATCATTGGGAAGTAACGAAACTTGTTATATGAATAATAACCAAATGTATCATTAGTTTCGTCTTATACCTTCCTCCATAAATGTTTTGGTCTCGTGGGCTACCTCGAGTTCGGCCTTTGGAGGCGGAGCGTGCTTTCTTAATTTTTTTATTTGGATAAACTACACGGGTGATCATTAATATTTTAGGTTATTTTTATTTTAATCACTGAATTTTCAAAACTTGTAATAAATTATTAAATTTTTAATTATTTTCATCACGCATCATTGATTTAAATTATTTTTGAGAAAAAAATTGATATGCAATAATAAATTATTTTTCTCCTCTTAAAATTTTTTAAGGTTTCAAAATAAAAAAAGAGGTTTTATTTTTGATAAATGAAATTATCATCTATCAACTCCAATGGTGGAAATACTGTGTTTGGTCAACATATTAGCATAGTTCAATTTTAAATTAATACAATAATCGATAGTGGCTGATAGGGATCTTTTAATTTTTTATTTTGATTGGGGTCTAAGGAGATTAGAAAGTTTTTTAACGAGTTTGAATTAATTTAAATAAACAGAATAAATAATTTGATGATTTTTTTATTGAAGAAATCATTAAACAACGATAAAAGAAAAACAATGACTGCTAGGTTTCTTTTAGGAATTTTAATGCGTTAAATTCTCATTAATGGTTTAACAACTAGTGACTAAAATAAATTTTTTTGTTTATAAAAACAAATGATTTTTCATTTCAATAACCAAAGTCGAAGCGTCTTAAAAGTTCAATGTCTATTAGTATCATTTATTATTTTATTTTTTTATTGAAATCGGTTTTAAGTTCAAAAATGTTTTTTTTTAAAAGTATATATATTTCAAAATCGAGAGTCGTCATCATTAACTTTGTACTAGGTTTGATTGAACACCTATAAAACCATAATTTTTTAAAAAAAATAAGTTTTATTTGAAGAATATAATTTTAAAGATTTGCATTTAAAATCAGATAAATAATTAGATTCAAAAGTTGATTACGTATGAATAATTTTAAACACTCATGATATCAAAAATTAGTATATTTAAAAAATAATTAATTACATTGTTTTTTTAAGTTTAGATTCAAAACATGATTCCTTGAATGAATATAAATTTTACAAAAGATGACCGATTATTAATCTTACATTCTTATAGATTTGTCAATAATATTTTTTTTATTCTAGAGTGATTACAAATGATATTATATGTTCTAGAGATTCTCAATTATTTGACAATAAACACTCATACACCCTAGATTCGTTGGTGCTCGAACCCTAGATTCGTCATGTCAAATAATATTATAACTTTGTATGAGTATACAATGCATGTCGAACATTAAAATGCACCACAAATGTGATATACCGAAATACACCACTAAATAAATTATCCTTTTAAGTAAATATTTAAAAAAATCAAGAATCGCTCTATAAATAATTCATTTTTATTAAAATATTTTTATTAAAATAAAATTGCAGTATTCTCTTTAATCCACCCATTTAATCGATTTTCGTTTAATTTATAAGTAGGGATGGTAACTTAATCCGAAACGGACAGGTTTTGATTCTATCAAATTTGATGGGTTGAATTTTTTAAAAATAATTCCTGTTTGAGTTTGGGTCAGGTCGAACTTTTTAAAGGGTGAGGTCAGATCAGGTTCGGGTGGAGGGTGAAAAAACTTTGACCCGATCCGGGAATAATAATGTATTTCTTTAAAAAAGGTATTATTATTATTTTTAATCAAGTTCTTATTTTACACTGGGTCAGGTCGGGTCGAGTCAAATTTAGAGGAAGATATATATTTTCGGGACGGATCAGATCAGATAGAGGATATATAATTTTCGAGTTAAGTCAGAGTTCAGCATATGATACATATTTTCAGATCGAATCGATTTGACCAAAAATCTAACTCTAACCTGACCCGTTGACAACCCTATTTCTAAGTGATTTTAGTGACTACCAATGGAGATTAGCATATATTATTTTCCCTACTTGGTTTGCTTATTTTTGTTTTTAATTTTCCTTTATCGACTTCAAATGTTAAGATATCGATAATAGCGAGGTAGTGAAGATTCTAAACTCTTTTACCCAGATGCATGAAACATCTATTGTTTGTAGGATCCGAAGATTTCATCAATTCCCCTGGAACATCAACATCAATGATGTCATAAGAGAAACCAACGGCATAGTTAGTGCTTTCGGTATTTTTCTTAGAATTGCAATTTCTATTTTTTTGTCCTTTTTCTTAGCCCTGTCCCTTTATGCGCGGGGCTGGAGGAACTTGATTTAAACAAGTTTCCTCCAGACATATCCCTTGCCGAATCAGCCCAATTGGAACGAGAAACCAAAGAGAATACCATGCAATGTGATCGGTTACACAATAAAATCATTCAACTATAGAAGTAGCTTGGGGGACGGGAGTCGACGATAATAAAAAACTTGAGAAAATCGTCGACGCGGTCAAGTTTCTTGCCAACGTAGAGGACTTGGCCGAAAAGGCCCGACTCCCCAAGCTCCGCGACTTGAAAGACAAGATCTCGAACAAAGTTTGAGAGTCTTTGTTCGAGATAGATAGGGAAATTAAACGTTGGGAAATGTTCAGGAGGATTGGGCCTCACGATTTTACCACATCTTCCTCATGGCATTCAGTGTCTACTCACCTGGGACATGGCTTATTGTAAATTTTATTATTCATTGCCTAGTTATTTACCTTTGTAACCAAAAAAAAAAGTATAGATGGTGAAGAACTATGCGATGAGGAAGGTGGCAGAGATGAGGAAGCCAGAATCCAGCATTAAGGGCAATTTATGTTGAAAGTCCAAGTTAATTGTCAAATTTGGGGCACCCGAAAGTGCACAATTAATGGCATCGAAAAGTAGCTAGCAATCGTTGATTTTTTGTAATGGTAAAATTACACATTTAGTCATTGTACTTTAGGGTATTTATAAGATTAGTCCTTAAGCTTTAACTATAAATACCCTAACCCATTTAGCTTTAAAATCATCCCAAATCATTATAGATTTCTCCCAATACTAGAGAATTTAGAGAGTTTCTTGAGAGTTTTTTTCTCCTTTTTTTATCAAGAGAGAATTATCATTGTTTTCTCCTTGGTAGATCGAGAGAAGTTGTAATTCCTATTTTCTCATAGTAAAATTCTTCTACCGTTGCCCGTGGTTTTTACCCTATATTATTTAGGGGTTTTCCACGTAAAATTTGTGTCTTCTTTATCTTCATTTTTATTTTCTCAAATTATCAATTGCAATTTGGCTTTATCCGATAGTTGTCTTCCGCAACAATTGGTATCAAGAGCCATATTTAAGTGTGTAATATCTACTTATTGTCTTTGAGGTTGCCACCAAAATGTGGATCCTCCAACATAAGAAAGTAATAAGGTATTACATATTCTTTGAAGGTTCCATAGAACTATTCACGATAGTGAAATAGTGGGATTTATCCGTAATAGAAGCTATGACAATGAAATTTGATATTGAAAAATTAAATGGGAGAAATTTCTCATTGTGAAAATTGA